ACCTTTTATGTTTCACGCCTTAAATCATTTTCTATCTATAATCACCTCGTAAGGCTTGTGATTTTCCCACTGGCTTCATGGGTACCTTCACCCGGCATTTTTATCACGGACCATAAACTCATTTCCCGATCTCTCAGGTATCTGTCAGTATGCAATCATATACTTCGGTAACATCTGGCACAGCATATTGTAGCATGGCACATTAAAGCCTATGAAACATTCCCCCAGAATAATTTTTTGATTGATTTCATTTCCTATGTCCTGCTCCTAGTGTCTTTCTTATTTATCTACCTGATCCAGTTATAAACTTATAAATGCAAGTACTGAGGCTTACAGACGCTCTATTGTACTGTATCTCGCCAAATTTCGCACAAACTATGAACTCGTTGCGGAAAATGTTAATCTAAACGGATTATAAATTCCTGGTATCCGATTGATTTTTTAATGCTGTTGCCTGCTTCGTTTTTTTCTAATTGCTGTATGATATTTTTCATTGTGTTTGTCATTCTGTGGTTTAGTGGTTGCTGAATAGTCACCCTTTGGGGTGCATAAAATGATTTCTTTACTTGACTCGGTTTGATAATGAAATCACATAAGAGAGAAAAAACTCACCTAACTGAATACAGATTTCTCCGATAGCCCAGATTGCATTGTTGCTCACAGATATGTGTTCAGAGCCCAAGTTGTTGACCAGGACAGACATGAATTGACCGATTTGTGGTCGGATATGAACGAAGCATGCCTTGGTCAGATCGCCCAGCAGTGCAAAACTACTTTGGCGAACGTCAGGCTGTGGATCCTGTGCAGCCTCATAGAGCAGTTTGACTAGTGGGCTACCGGCTACCAACGATTCCATCTGCATTCCCAGACCCTCTAGCAAACCACTGAGCAGATCGAGTGATATGACCATAAAGTCCTTGTCCGGTGAATCATACACATCCGGCTGCTGGGCGTGGAGCTAGGTTATGGCAAAATTAGACAGAGGGTGGAAAATGAATACAAATTAGTTAAGGTAATGAAGTAATACACAAACGTCTCGCGTATGATGACGGCTGTGATCGTCGGAGAATGAACTCCTAAGGGAAAATGAGGAGTTAACTCACCTTGCTTAGATGGATGGTACGATCGATTAGGTTAACACAACGGTTGAATACGGGTGCACAATATGGCAGAAATCCCGTACCTAAGGCCGTCGCCATGCTAGAGAGACATTCTAGCAGAGGAAAGAGATCTTTTTCATCATCCCTCAGTGCATTCCACTTCTCAAACAGTGGAGGCATTAGCAACTCAACGTATTCCTTGAGAAGAAAGTTAAAAATTAAGGACAGGTAACTACTTACCGGTCTATTCAAATGATGTCCGACAGAATCAGCCAGTGTACCAATGGCATCATACAAAATGAAGAGATTTTTGTGTTGGTATTGATTTAAAGCGCATACAAGTGTCTGCAATATAACACCCAAATGAGGGACTAAATCTGTACAGGCTTCTTCTTCAAGTGTTGCGAACGCAGAACACGCTGCCTCTTGGACACGCTTATTCGAGTCTAGAATTCGCTTCAATAGCTGTTGGTTTGAGAGGAATAAAAAGATGCGCACAAACGAACCTCTACCATAAGCGGCTTGAAGTACTGCTCATGTGGTTGACCAACAATCCAGTGGGAATAACGACTCAAAGTCCAACAAGTTATACTTCGGATGAGGGGTCTTTCGTCAGAAAGACATCCAATCAGGAAAGGGACAAGTTCCGGGAGATACGGTAGCATCCCCTTCATGCAACCTGTACGGGAAATGAACGATGAATCGAAATGACCAACCTTCAGCAATGGCTCCAAGAACTAATATTCCAGATTCTTTGACATCCCATTGAGGTGAGAAGAGTAAATCTCGCATAATGGGGAGCAGAATGGGAAGGAATTCTGTATGAAATACACTAGCAAGTACATCCAACGCAGCAGCGGAGCATTTTCGCAGAGTCCAATTGGAAACATAATCGTCGTCTTCGTCATCGTCATCATCATCCTATGATGTAGAACAGCAATGAGTGCTTGACAATTTTTACCTCTGGCGACATCAGTTTATTTTTTGTTTTGTGGAAACGAGGCCGAATGTCTGATTCCCGATCGGGTATATGTGCATCTTCCAGAAGGTCATTCTGCAACACCAGAATAATCAATATAAAAAGTAGGGACGTACGCGTAAGAGAATCATATCACTCTCTGAATACTTCATGCCCCGCACTAGTACAGGGATAAGCCGCTCGATGTACGGAGACAGGGCTTGATGGCAAATTGGCTGCTCGGAAAGTGAAAGCCAGAATTCACATGCTTCTCGGGAAATATTCTCGTCTGCATCTTGCGTTCTTAGGAGCATAAACTGTTCAAAGTGGACGATGAATGGTGAAAGTTTGACTAACCTCGATAATGTTTGGCAAATGAGGAAGTAGTCGATCAAGGTGAGCTTCAAGAAGTTGAACAAAAGCCGAGCACACGTGTTTTCGCACAGTCGCATCAACATCCTCTGCCAAAGAGAACAGACACTGGAGAAATTCGTTGACAAAGTTCAGCAAGATCTGATTTCGACTGTTTATGAAGTGGTTAGTACACGCGAGTGCATATGACCTGCAGTGAAGAGAAACAGAGGATAGGGTTGTCGGTGACAGATACGATCAAGCTATATATATATCAGTTCAAGGAAAAGCACGATGTCAACGCGACAAAAATGAAAGTGGAAAAGGAGGATTCGGGCACAAACGACTGAGAAGAGACAGATGACAGGGAACAACCTTCTTGTTTACTTCGTTGAACACTTTTTGTGTTGTGTTTGCCACCTCGTGTTCTCATCATGTGTTCTATGGGACTATTTAGAGATGTTTTGTTTGTTTTCTATGTGTGTGTGTGGGGGGGGATTTCAGCAGACAGATAATGCAACTTCCACATCATTGGGGTCCACTCTGAGTCGTATTTCTCAGCCAGACTTGGATTATCCTATGATAACATAAACATGAAGGAACACAGTAGCATGTGCCTCCTAGCCAGGATTTTGCGGAGATTCAAGATTATTACTGACTCTTTTTCGATGTAATCTTTTTGTGGCAAACAATGAAAGTTCTGTGGAACAAGTAAACACAAGTATCCAATGATAGGAGTGTGTATGCTGAGCTGTAGCACCTGTCGTTTTATACGAGTTGCAAAGTCACGTGTACTATGCTCTGGCACGAGTTCTTTTTTTCACTGGAACGATGCATAGCTATACCTAGTGGAAAGTGTTCATCTAAATTTGGTTTTATAGCTCCCATGCCTGCCTATCTTGAAGCATGTGAAAACATTTGTTTGGGTCCACTGGCATCGGACAGAACGGTAGAATATTCTTTTACGAATTTATTTGGGTACATGAAGGTGTTATTGATGTTACTCGGACAACCCCCAAATTTATCGGTGTTTCAATGGATCGTATTGAACGCGAAACACGTAGGTGGGTCAAAAATACGGCGGACAGAATTGCCACGAAAAAGTTGCGACAGAAAATGACAACACCGTAAATGTAATATACTTTTTGCTTTTATAATATATATCAGCGAATAAATGATCTTCTATACGATGCCCAATTATCCGCATGAAATCCTCTGATTAAAGTAGAAGCTTATTTGAAGGTACCTTCTAATTAGGATTAACATGATACAGTAGGAGTGAGGGAAGATGAAAGGAATTTATTCAATTACTCAATAAAGTGCGTTGTAATCATTACAAACATGGGCTTAAGCTCATCGCGAGATAGTAATACCACGAGAAAATATGGGGTTTATAAGAGATTAGAGAACAGAGAAGACGGAAATTATAAAACAGAATTTTCAAAAATGTAGCTCATTGTAATCGGCTAATAGCGCGCTATTAGCCGAAGACGTGCTACCTGGGTAAAAAGAACCATCAAAGGGTATGACCACCAACTGACAGCAGTGAAGTCTTTGCTATCATTTCAGATCAGATCAGAATGCTTGAAGAGGTGTCTATGTACAGTCAGACACAACACTGCGTTTTGGTCATAATTGTTCTCTTCATTTTCCCTCCCTAAAACTTGTCCAAATCCATTTCAGCAATCCAGCTTCATCCGCAGTGGGCTCAGCAACAACCAGTGAAGTTCGCTCCAAAATACTTTGTTGTAGTATAATGATCATGAATATAGTACTAGGAATGCCACTTTGTGCCATGCTCCCAAGAACACTCAAGACAGTCAAGCGATCCTCTTAGATACAGCACATATTGATTTCAAAGTTACCTGTTGTCTTGCACGTTTTGTCGTTCAAAATTTGCTCGTTGATTTCTACTGTTTGGTGTAGGTGGAATGTTATAGAGTCAGAAACATTAAGAGAGTAGTTCAGTAAAGAAATTTGTTACAATAATGTAATCGGATGAATAGATTTCACTAATTGAGATAAGTATTGAGCATGCTCAGACGTTGTCTACTGGATTATTTACAGACGCCACTCCCGTGAGGAGAAAGTCGATGTCAACAAACGACTTGCAGATGAGGCGTGAATAACGGCATAGAGATTAATTAGTATGGGTGTTTCCCGTCTTCCAGGTTGGGGTACAAACGACTGTCACTAATTGCTTAGCAACTGTGAACGACATGCAACAAGACCGACATCAGTGGCATTCTTGTTATCACATTTTGTCAAACCAGAATGCCCAGACTGTGGCCGATTTCGTTTCCCTCCATATAAACAGGCCAACTTCTTCCCAATCACATCAATTCCTTTTAACTTTGTATACATTTACACACGCTGAACATTCACCCATCAGGGTGCTCAAGCATTTATCATATTAAATTGGTAGCGATCAGTCCGCTTCAGTATGTTTTGTTGTACAGTGCTCATGATGGTTGTACTAATGTGATAACCTAAGAACCTTCGAGTTTTCAGCTTCTTTTGCGTATCTTTGTAGCACGTTCACGAGACTGCACCTTGGCGTGGTGTGATGGCTTGCGCGCCTCAATAACCCTGCGAGCTATACAGGATGGCTCCTCACAGCCGTAGGGCCAATCATGCCTGGA